CTGAAGGAAGAAAAAGATGTTGTAATAAAATTTTTTTTTTTTTTTTTTTTTTTTTTTTTTTGTGCACAAAGTGTTCTCGTAGCTTCGTAAAATTACGGTTGAACCCCTGATGTCACATGGATTATTTTACCGATCTCCTTGCTACGTTTCTGGACCTTGATTGTGTAAGGACCCTTGCTGCCTATGGGAGGGTCAGAGAGCTCTTAGAATTCATCAAAAATATCTTAATTTGTGTTCCGAAGAGGAACGGAGGTGTTACGGGTTTGGAACGACATGAGGGTGAGTAATTAATGACAGAATTTTCATTTTTGGGTGAACTATCCCTTTAAGAGGAGTTAAAAGTTAATTGTTGCCCCACAGCCAACAATGAACTTCAGTTTAATCAAATAGAGAAATAACACACTATTATACCCTTTCAACAGTCATTAATGGAGACAGAGAGAGACATGGAACAATATACTAAGAGGTGCAGTCTTATTGTTGTTTATGAATAATTGTAGACGGACAGATCTGTAAGGTTAGAGATGTCTTTCTGAATTTGTTTAAAGGTGACACAATTTTTTGCACAACTTAGCATCACCACTTTCTTGAAAAGAGTTGCTCTTTTCAAATAGGTGTCCTGGACGCTGACGAAACATTTATAAATAACACTCCTCACCTTTGTAAAAAGATTAGTTGCAAGATCTGATTAAAGTTTGTACATTTGTTTGGCATTACTTCAGATTTGATTGTCATGGTGTGTTACCCAGTATTTTTGTAAATGATTAAGTATGTTAAATTTTGATTCTTGTGGTAAAGTGAATTGCGTTGCTTTTGTGCTTGATTTACTGTTGATTCGATTTTACTTCTGTTTTATTCTCAGATCTTGTTGTAATTGTATGTAGGTCTGGCAGTGGATGTCTGTGACATCTCATTGTAATTATATGTCAGACCTGACTGCAGTTGTGTAGGTTACTGCAGCAGTTTCTCTGTATTCCTGATTAAGACACAGAGACACACACCGTGGAACCTCTTTTCAAAACTCACTCTGCAGTTTTCATTTGGCTGTCCCCAGGTGTCCAGAGTGAGGGCTACGACTGGCTTGTCACGTTGACAACTCCCTCTAATTGGAGCATTCTGCGTGTGTGTGTGTGTGTGTTCTCCATTTTTATTCTGATCTACATTTTATTTGAGTGTAAAAATGATACATCCAGCTCTTACATCCAGATACAGAGCTTTACTTTGGCTGCCAACTGACTCAAAAGTTAAAATTTCTGAAAAACATCTGTTTCTTCTTCTAGGGAAGCAGAAGTATCTCTGCGCTAGCAGGAATGACTGCACCATAGATAAACTGAGGAGGAAGAACTGTCCATCCTGCCGTCTGAGGAAGTGTTTCGAGGCTGGGATGACCCTGGGAGGTAATTTGTGTGCTCCCATATGTGCTCTACTCTGATGCGCTATATAGTGGCTAATAGTTCACCCAAAAATGTCATCATTTATGTACTCTCATGTAATTCCAAACAGGGTTATTATAGGTAACTAAAACCTGATTTAGTTTTTTTGATAATTAAAAAAATAAATATAATTTTCATATTAAAACAATTAATACAAATAACATTTGCTAAAAATAACATTATTTGGTGTAATGAAATGTATTTATGTGGTTTAAGGTTAAAAAAACACATTATTTTCCACATACTGTACATTATTGTTTCTCCTCTATGCCCCGCCTTTCTGAAACGTGTCGATGTTTACAAAGCTCATTGGTCTGAAAAGCAAGGTGTGCTGTGATTGGCCAGCTATCCAGTGCGTTATGATTGGCCGAATACCTCAAGCGTGTGACGGAAATGTTACGCCCCTACCATACTGTGATGATTCCCTGTCAGGCCGGAGCGATGATTCAAAAACATGAAAACCCATTATAAATGAGGCATTCGTTGCATCCAGTGGGGACATAATTATGGATTATAATGACTTATACTGTCTTTTTACACATTGCGTTGCATCACGCCGACGTAAACATAAAACCATGTCTGCATTTGTGATCGGAGAAAGAACAAACAACAAGCCCTACTCTACACTGTCCAAAAAACATATAAAATATAAAAATATATATATAAAAAATATAAAAAGTCTTTAAATATAAAAAACGTACTTGCAGTCTGTGAGTCAGAACAGCCGGCATTGTAGTCTACTCTACCAGGATCAGGAAACGGTCCTCCATAAAATGTGCTGCACACATCTGAATATTTGGGTTGAAGTGTTCTGGAACAGTGTTGTAAATACAACTTAACCACTGATTTCTAGTCTTGTCAATTTTTGGAAGGACAAACAAAGTAGTTTCGCTTTCACAACGAAACACAGTGTCACACACGGTGGCCTAGAGTGAGCGGCGGCAGCCTAGAGTGAGCAGAGGCCGGGGGCTAGAGTGAGGAACGGTCGGAGGGCTAGAGTGAGCAGCGTCCGGAGGGCTTGCGGCAACCACATGTGACGACCCCGGGCTGGACTCCGCTTCATCCATGGTGAAAGCCGATCCGGTGATCCACAGTGCAAAGTTGTTGTATTTCCTCAGCGACCAGCACGGATCAGCTCCAGGCATGACGAAGCAGATATCGTCCTCTTTTGGAAGGCCAAACAAAGTAGTTTCGCTTTCACAACGAAGCACACAGCGCCTTTCACGACATGGTGGCGTCAACAACAATACTACAGCGAGAATAAAAGTTACACCTTCTTTCTTTGCGTGAACATTTGGGCGGCGTTATGCAAATCTTCCCACATCGTGACGTAGATATGTGGCTGACTCTTAACTTTTATAAAGAATATCTCTTTGGATTTGAGACTTTAGTCTTTGCAACTTTACAGATCTTCTTTATGCACCAATAGCTTGTAACACTCCAAAGAGAAAGGAAAATTGAAATCGCATCATATGACCCCTTTAAAATAATTCAATATAAAAAATGTTACTTATTTTATTTCAGATAGTTACCAGTGAATGATTTTTCATTTAGTTTAACTTGATGTACTAAAATAACTCAAATTAAAACTTAAATAAAAATGAATAAAAACATATAGACATTTAAAAAAGTAAAAACAAATAAAAATTACAAAAATCACTAAAACCTTACCAAAAACATTATTAATAAAAACTGTAGTAATATCTAAATTATACTAAAATAACTTTGGGTCTGAGTCTTTATAATTTTCCTTTTCTTCTGTGGAACAAGAAGAAAGTTTTAAGAATCCTCGCTCATGCCTTTTACATTTCAGTTCACTGTTTCTTCAGTCTTTTTACAGTTCATTATGACAACTGAAATAAAGTATTGCACTTTTGTCCAGGTCATTTGAAGGCATACTATATTTTCTGTGTGCTTTGTGTGAGGAACAGGCCAAAACTTTAAATCACTATTCTTCTCTCTCCAGTGGGTAGAGAACTGCTGTGAATCATCCAGTAGTGAACTGAATCAGTCAAATTTGTCACAGTCACTCAGATCAGTCATGGAAAACTGACTCAAAAGAATAATTTGTTCACAAAATGACCTCAAATAACATCAGCAGAGAAGATGGACTTACATTTCAATAATGACATTGTTGGGTGAACTATTCCTTTACAGCCCAGGCATAGTGATGAGAGGTTTGCTGGCTCAATCACTGCAAGGAGCAAGCTATCTAACCCTAGGTTGTCCCTTTAAGTTATGGAAACAAATTCCACTGGTCCTGGTCATTTGGTAATACATAAAGGTTTATTTTATGTGATATGACAGATGGTTTAAATTACATAAATCACTGTTATAACTTATACAGAAAGGAAATTTCTAAGATAATTTACATTTGAAGCTTTTGGTATTGATCAACCGTAAAAGTCCTCACCGTGGCAGATATTTGTATAAAGGACCAAAATGAACTTTTCACAGCACCTGCCATTTGTGAGTGAATTGAGAAAAATGACTATAAATAAGGCCATAAAAGGCCATGAAACATTTTTGTCCCTATTACAAGAGAGTTATTAAGCAGTTTTGCGTGTTATTGACAGACAATGCAAATTACTCGTGATGATCATTTACTCACCCTCAAGTTGTTCCAAACCTGTATGGATTTGTTATATGAGTTTCTGTTGAACATAAAAGATGATATTTTGAAGAATGTGGGTAACCAAGCAGTTTCTGGTCTTGGACTTCCATAGTATGGGAAGAAAAAATGCCATTGAAGTCAATGGGGACCAGAAACTGTTCTTCAAAATATCTTCTTTTGAGTTCAGCAGAAGAAAGAAATTCATTCAGAATTTTCTCTTTTGGGTGAATTAATATGAGAAATATCCTGTGTATCCTACCACATGCAGTTCCAGGCAAATGTCAGAAGATACACTTTCCACTCAGGATGCACAAGTTGCAAAAGATTAATTTGGACATGGATTGTATTTCTTTGGTTTAAATCGCTCCTGTGGCTTCCATCAGCATGAGTCAGGCAATCATTCTTAGACTTTTCCGCTTAAACCACGTGTTACATTGACGCTCCTAATAAAGTTGCCTGCCAGCTGAAGAGTAGCTCACCAAAACCAATGTTTACAAGGATATGGCAATCGGAAAGTACTGATTTTGGACCTTGTTTGTATATGAAGCTTTGAATCTTTAGATAAATTGAGTTGTCATGGTAATGCAGCTCTATGGCAGCTGAGCCATTTTAAAGACTGCTTTGAGAGAGAAAGAGAGAATGCATGCTTCAGATAATCTGTGGGGAACTTCTTTACTGAAGTAGTGCAGTCAGCTTTGCATTTCTCCATGATCTCTTCCTCTAGGACACTCACTGATGAATTATTGATAAATAATTAAGGGTTTATCTCTCTGGTCTACATTAAGAGGTCTCCCTCTCTTAAGGTCTTCCCAAGCGGCAACCTTCCGGTCTCTCTCCTGAAACCAACACGGAAGTGACTGAAACTGCAATTCATCGACTGGCAGCTAGAGGCTGGCTCCAAAAGGGAGTCAGTCCCATAGACTCCCCATGTTAAAATGCCCAACTTTACAGCAGAAAAAAAATGTTTATAGCCTGGTACAAAAAGTGCCCTTCATGACAACTGTGAGGGGGGTGAATTTTTTTTTATAACTCATCCGTTTAAATTATACTAAGCCTTAAAGTTCTGCATAATTAAGGGCGTGGCCACTTGAGTGACAGGTGGATTGCTGCTGCTGTCACTGCCGTCGAGCTAGGTGGGCGTGGTTTCAGCAACCAGCTCCCGCCTCTTTGCCCATTTTCGATTATCTGGGAGTGATGCGGTGTGACGCGATGCTAAGATGGCGACGGCTGGCTCCGCCCACTTTGAGCTTCAAAAACGTTCTTCAGAAACCTATGGGGGACGTCACGGACACTTCGTCCATGTTTTTATATAGTCTGTGGGTCTTCCTCTCCCACCCCGCCACCCCATCTCTCATCTCTCCAAAGGGCTTTCACTAATTGAATACATTTTCACACCAATAGCTAATGGAACAGAAGTAAACGAAGCATAGTTTATTGCATGCTACTTTTATCAATTAAATTACAGCATACTTATTCTTCATTAAATCATATTTCATTTTTTAAGAGCAGATGCTGTAGATTATTCTGAAGAATAGGCAATTTAATTTCATTAGGACTTTTTCAAAGTTTGTTTTATAACTTTTTTTTTAGTTTGAGACCGTATACAGTAGGTCACTGGGTAATGAGTTCCAATCAGCTTGATTGTGATCACTGATTCTCTTTTAGTTTTTCTGTCTCATTCTTGAATGGATTAAATTAACTCCAACTCCAACCCACAATTAATAGACTAATTAAACTGTAATTCAAAGAATATTTCTTTAGTACTGCTTGAGTACAAATTATAACTTTAAAATGACAACTTGATTGATACTCAAGAGGGCAAAACATTGGATGATCGAAGTAAACTGTATTTATTTAGTCTTCTGCAGATTATGTTTTATGAAGCTTCCCAAAGAGCAGTACTAAATGAATGAGATGTTTAAATAAAAGTGTGAAAATATAGATCTTAAAATCATACACCGATGAAAAGGGTTCAAATATGCAGAAGATGCTGGAAAGCCAAAGAATGTGCGGTACCTGGAGGAGTTTTCTGAAGAACAGTGGGCATTTTAAAAGAAACTCATGAACAGATATCCCAAAATAATAAAACAGTTGTTGATCATCCAGGTGAGGACGCACAGTATTAAGAATCAAACATATGTATACATATCGTATTCACAGACGATACTTAAGCTTAGTCCCAGACAAAAAAGTAAGTCTGACCTGTTTCAACTAAAAGAAATTTGCACTGATTGATGTTAAAATGTCAGTGCCCTTGTTTTTTTTTTTTCAAGATGCACACCAGTAATGTTTTTTTTCTAAGGCATGTTTATAAAAATTACTTAAATGTCCTAATTGAACTATGGCCATA